TAGACCCCTGTAGGTATAAGCTGAAGCTTCCTTCTTATAAGAAATGCTTGTCATAAGAAAGGGATGAGCATGAAAATGCCTTTTCATAGACCCTCTGTCTACTTCTGCCATGGGGATTATTTAAACATGAAGGAATTTCATGATGATTTAAAATTGACTACCCCCTCCATCTCCAAGTGCTTCTGGATCACCTCCCCAGCTGTTTAAAAAGTTGTTGAGCCATTAACTGCTGCTGAGGCTGCTCTGAGCTCCCTTTGAAATGGGGGTCCCCCGGCTGCAGTGCATAATATTAATGAGCAGTAAGTGACTGCCTGCTGCTTTCTCCACCAGGCCCTTCTGGGCTCTGACAAGTGCTGCTGCTGCCTCCGCAAGGCCTCCTGGCCTATCACGCCTCCGGAGTGACGGATACCCCTGCCAGCACTTCTGTTTCCTTGGCCGATTGGTGTCTTACAGTCGGCCTCTTCTGTGAGCGTAGAGACTGGGGAAGCTCTTTGCCTTTCTCAGTGCTGTCTGCTCAAGTGGGCTGGTTGTCCTTTAACAAAAAGCAACTCTCATCATTTGGCCCATTCTATAGATGAGCAACAGGGACTGGATTCAAATCCCAGAAAAAAGGGCAGAACTGGGCCCTGAGCCAAACTCTTCTTTAACCCCAATTTTTGGCAGGAAAGGAGCAAGGGTCCGTATTTCACTTTCCAAAATCAGACACCTAGTTGAATATTGCCAGCACAAATGAGCAACGATAGAAGGATTTCGGCCATCCTTTTATACATTTGATTTCCCACACTACCTCTTCACTAAAGGAGCAGTAAGAAGCTGGGTGTGGTGGTGCACACCTGTGGTTCCAGCTACTCTCTAGGTTAAAGCAAGAAAGAAGATCATGTGAGCCCAGGAGTTCAAGACCAGCCTGGGCAACATGGTAAACGCTTGTCTTTAAAAAAGGTAAATAAATTTAAAAAAAACAGAGAAGTGCTTCAATAATTGTAGTACATCAGATTCTACTCTATCAAGCACAGTTAATAAAATGAGTAACTAACGGTGGCTCACACCCGTAACCCTAGGGGAGGCCAAAGTGGGAGGATCGCTTGATCTCAGGAGTTTGAAACCAGCCTGAGCAAAAGAAAGACTCATCTCTACAGAAAATAGAAAAAATTAGCTGGGCATTGTGGCACACAGCTGTAGTCCCAGCTACTCAGGAGGCTGAGGCAGGAGGATCGCTTGAGCCCAGGAGTTTGAGGTTGCCGTGAGCTCGGCTAACACCATGGCACTGTAGCCTGGGCAACAGAGCAAGACTCTGTCTCAAAAAAAAAAAAAAAAAAAAAAGCAACTTACTTGGATTGCTACAAGAAAATGGAAAATAGTATGATTTTGCCTTGCCATTTTAATAAAAGTAAATGGCAGATTTTCTCCCCCCAAAAATGTAACATACAGAGATACTTTTGGTGCTTGGTTAAAGGCAAAGCTGGTTTCCTGCCCTGTATGTCATGTGACTGAAAAGTGTGGCCTTGACTCTTTCTCTCCTTGAAGGCAGCATTATGTGGGAATGGAAGCGTGACAGCTACCACATATATCACCACTATGTGCCAGGCATCACTGTAAAAAAATTGATGTTGAGTCATTTAATCCTCACAACATCCCTGTGAGGCAGGGGCGGTTCTCATCACCATTTGATGGATAAGGGTACAATAGTTATGTGACTTGCCCAAGGATCACACAGCTGTAAAGGGCAGAACTAGGATTCAAACCCAGGCAACCTGACTCCAAAGCCCATGTTCTTTATCAACAGGCTAGTCCTCTCTACATACTACTTGTATGTCCCAGGGAACTCAGGAATCCAAACTGAGAGAACAAACCAAGTGGCAACCTCCCTCTGTAGATACTAGAACTTCGTTGATATCCTTCCTCCTTCCTTCTGAAAGGGAGGTCACTTTACATTCAGCTCACAGGACTGTTTCAAATACAATATAGAATTTACTTTTCACTTGTGAAAGCCAACTGTAAATTTATAAAACTTGAATGTCCTAAGTAGTGTTTCTTAAAGTCTATCCCATGGACCCATTACATCAGTGTCCACAGGGGATGTTTGTTTCAAACTTGGAGTCTGAGCTTCACCCAGACTTCCTGACACTGAAACCCTAGGAGTAGGTCCCAGTAATCTGCATTTTTAGGAGACACCCCATTGACTCTTATACACACTAAAGATTGACAATCATGGCATTGCATCTGGAAGTTTCAGGAGCTCTGCACATCATCAATTCGACTGAAGATGATTGTAGAAAGCTCTCAAAGCCTCTCTACGTTCAACAGCTATTTCAGGGAGAATTGTCATGTGCAAGAAGTGTTCCTAAATTGTTGTAGTCTCCTTCTGTGTGAGCCAGCTGGTTAAGAGAGCCTGAATAACTTCCCAAGGGACTCCAGTTAAGTGGACACTTGTACACTCTGTACCTATGAAAATATAGAAAAGACAGTTTTTTCACCCGGGACCCAAAGTGAGTCTTTCAGAATGGAATTCTTATCATCTTTCTTTTTTTGCATAAAACTCTCCCAGGGACTATAACGTGGGCTATGAGGGCTTATATAATCTGGCCATGAACGTGTCTCCGGCATTATCCTTACCACGACTCCAAAAACCCTGAACTGCCTTCAGCTCTCCCAGTGCACCAAGCACTGCAGCAACTTTGCACATGATCCTGGGCTCTATTATGTATCCTCTGCCCCAGCACCTCGTTAGCTCTCACTTTTCCATCAGTTCTCAGCTTCAGTGTCACTTTCTCAGGGAAGCCTTCTTAAACCTGCCTCAAGAAGTCAGGCCATTCTCTTGTCTACCACTTCTCCACCCACCATTCTTCCATGGCACTCACCATTGCTCACCATAGCTTTCAGTCTGCTTTTGACCGTTGACCAACCTATTTCCACCTGTCTCTTCTAACCATTTGGTTCTACAAATAAGAACCGTAACTGTTCTGTGCATTCTGGTGTCCAGCAGAGAGCCTGCTACATAGCAGGCATGCACTTCATTGTTGTGGGGCATCATGAAAAAAATTTAATTCATAATGTTCAAGAGAAGATTTTAATTCTCAGTCTAGAATTTATCATCAATTCTATATGACAAAGATTGCACATCTTCCGTTTCTATCCTTGTCTGTAAATAGCAGTGGAGATGGCTGGGTTAGAAAGTGTGACCCCAAAACTACTTGATTTATTCTAGATCCCTTTAATGAATGTGTGAACAGCTCTAATCCTGATGCTATTTTTAAATTGCTCATAGTGCTGTTATATAGTCATTAGCTGGTAAAAGGAAAGTTAATGAAAGAGTGGAAATTTCTGATTTTGAAAAACCACAAAGTAACTAATTATCTATTTCCTCTTTTACTTCAAAGACTGAAGTGGATTCTTGTTATTGAACGGGTTAGGGAGCACGATGAGCTTAATTGGTGATGAGATGGGTTTTATTTAATCATATTTTATCATCACTTTCAAGTGTATCTTTAGTCAGCTATATGAACTATCATGCTTATCTTTTGTAAGAGTGTTCTCTATACAAGAACATATTTCTCACAGTAATTTGATAATGATGATATTTGTTTAAGCTAATTTTGACACTAAATGATATATTCAAAGTATTCCTGAACTATAAGTATGTTAAAAGCTGGAATTGTTCATCTCCTAAAACCTACATAGCAGTTAGCAAACTATAGACATTTTAACATATTAACTGCCATGTGAGTTGTATTTAACTAGTGCTAGTTTTGAGTCCGGGGCCTCATGAAGCATATGTAACTCACACATCTCTTTACCATGGGAGCCGTGTGGTATGCAGGCAACTCACGCTGCCATGCTATAGCATACATGTTACATGACAGGTGGCCCCCTGGGCAAAACCCTGCAGTTGGGTCATGAAACTCTTCCTTGTTGATATTCTCATTGTAAGAATTAATTTTGACAATTAATATTGACAATTTAATTGCATATAATTCACAACAGAATAAAAAATAACAAATTTTTCATTAAATCAGAAAGTATTGTTTTGTTTTTAAAGTTCTTATTCTATTTTCATAATAAAACACCATGGCCCCAAGGAAAAAAAATTTTTTTTCTAGTGTGGCAGTCAATGTGTTAAATTATTATAAAACTTTGCCTTCTGGGTATTTTAACTCAAAAAATTACCATCGTACATGACACACATATCTCAAAACCTAGCAATTATAAGCGAATGTTCTCCTACTCATTTTTAAAGCAACTCCCTAAGGAAGCTAAGTGCCAGTGACTTCCCAAATTTTCTGTTGATTAAACATAGGGTTTCATGTTTTGGAATGCAATGGAAAGGGATTAGAGACACATAGTAGGTTTAGTGAGTTTGATAGCGAAGAAGTCTAGACCACTGTGGATCACACCCGGTCCAGTTTAGTTATATGTTCCTAACATTGTCACCTTCCAAACCAAAAAAGTCTAATATTCATGTCACAAAAATCTGTGGGAAATGATAAGATACTAATAATGTTAGCTAACATTTATGCTTCACGCCTACACTATTTTTAACACCTTCATAAGAATTACATCACCTGGTGTACACAGCAACCCAGTGAACTAGGTGCTATTACTAAGCCCATTTCATAAATGAACAAACTGAGACATAGAGCACGTCACAGTCGCACCATCATTAAGCTATTTTGGAACGCAGGCAGCCTGCCTACGGAGCACCCACTTGTAACTATTAAACCAGACTGCCTCCCATACATAATTTATTTAAGAACAATGAATCAGGAAGCTTGGTCCTGCTTTCTTTCTTTCTCTCTATTTTTCCCTCTAGGAGATGAAGTTGGGGGGTACATTTTGTTTTGTTTTGTTCTGAAAGAGAAGCTGAAAGTGAGCCTTCTGTCTTTCTGAACATCTTTTGCCAAAGCCACTTACCTTCATCTGGGGCCAGAAAGGACACTGATTCTGAAGACAGAGCACTAATGAGCTTCCCCCTTTGTCTCCCTCCCTGTCTCTCTATTTTGCAGTTAATAGCCAAGATACCAACCATCACAGCAGTTTGCAACTTGCACGGGGAGAAGCTGCAGGTATTTAAGCAATCTCATCCAGACATAGTGAATACACTGTTTCCTCCGTTATACAAGGAGCTCTTTAATCCTGACTGTGCCACAGTCTGCAAATGAAGGGGACGAGAGAACTATCTCATAGTCATGGAATGCATCACCATTAAGACAAAAGCAATGTGTTCATGAAGACTTAAGGAAAATGTCACTACTGCAACATTAGGAATGTCCTGCACTTAATAGAATTATTTTTCACCGCTACAGTTTGAAGAATGTAAATATGCACCTGAGTGGGGCTCTTTTATTTGTTGGTTTGTTTTTGAAATGACCATAAATATACAAATATAGGACACTGGGTGTTATCCTTTTTTTTTTATTTTTTCGGGTATGTTTTGGGAGACAACTGTTTATAGAATTTTATTGTAGATATATACGAGAACAGAGCGGTACTTTACATGATTACTTTTCCTGTTGATTGTTCAAATATAATTTAAGAAAATTCCACTTAATAGGCTTACCTATTTCTATGTTTTTAGATAGTTGATGCATGTGTAAATTTGTAGCTGTCTTGGGAAGTACTGTGCATGTATGTAATAAGTATATAATATGGGAGATATTATATATGACTATTACTTATACATGCACATGCACTGTGGCTTAAATACCATACCTACTAGCAATGGAGGTTCAGTCAGGCTCTCTCATATTATTTCCCTTCTGTGTTATATGTTACCTTTATGTTAGACAATCAGGATTTTATTTTCCCAGCCAGAGTTTTCATCTATAGTCAACAGCAGGATGGTACCAATTCAGAAATAAGCCTACAAAGGAAAAACTGTAATGCACAGCCTCTGTGTAAACTCTATTTCTGTCAGTGACATCAAAGCCTTGTCAAGATGGTACATCATGGCGGGGAAGTATTTGTAGCCATTTTCCTGTTTCAAGAATTAGGCCGCAGATAATACTGTAAGGTCCGTGACTTTTTTGACCAAACAATAGATATTTCCCATTTTTCACCAGAACATATAAAACACTTTTTTCCTTTGGATTTCCAAGTATGACAAAAAACTTGATTTTGGTGCTTATTGTGTCTTCAACTGAAAAATATAGTCTGTGGATTATGACCACCAGCAATTTTTTCTAGAAAAATGAAAGAAGCAGATCAGAAGCCAGGGTCCCAATGCCATTTCATGTCAACATTTTCTCTCCAATCATTGTTTTGGCAAAGAAGAGATAGAAAGAGAAGATACAAAGTAGATAAATAATTCTTTATATTTCTTCTCTTTAATACATTTGTTATAAAAAGTGATGATGATAAAGGGGAAGGGAGGACTTTTTATGTCCTTCTAGTCTGGGGCCTCTAATTTGTTTTTTTAACTCCAAAGTGCTATATTATAAAATGATAGCAAAAACTTAACAGATAAGGAAAAAAATATCTGTATTATTCTATGGAACTAATATTCCCCAAAACCAAAACTAATTCCTATGCAGTTTGAAATTACATCATCCATCTACCCTAAGATTGTTTTTTAGCAACTTTTAAAAGCACAGAATTATAAGGATGACATTGTGGTCATAGATTTTAGACTGCCTTGTACAAGTTCTCACTTCTCCACCAGCTTTTAGGCCTCCACCTGCTCTGTGATAAAAATCAATCATCAGAAAAGCATAAATACCAAGGCTTTTATTCTGCCTACATCCTGGAGCCCTATGCCTTTGGTATTATCTGATGCAAAATAAGACCTTTTTTATAAAGAAGGAAGCTAGGGGAGAAATTTGTGTGTAAGACAATGAAAATTATGATCTCTTGTTAAGTGTAGCCCAGCCAACAGTTCATAAAGACCTGTCCTTCTCTGCTTGTCAAACACATGCATACACACACACACACACACACACACACACACACACACACACACACACCTGCTTTGTAAAGTTTCCATCAGTGGAAAACTTTTGATTTTTTTTTCTCATCTCTTATGCTCTCCTGAAGCTCATTGTTGAGAGCCATGTCCAAGATGCTTCAGAACTCCTGACTGATGATCAAAACAGCAGCGTTAGTCTTTTCCTTTTAGAAAATGGAGATTTTTTCTCACCTCATGATTGATGAATTCCAAACCAATGGGGAAAAACAAAAAGGCTTTAAAATAATGAATCTCTTTCTCAACTACTGTTATATTCAATTAATTTAACTACATTGAACCAAATTACCTTTGGTTCTAAGAAGACAGCTGTAGACTGCTTATTATGCTGCTACAGGGACTCAATTCTTTTTGGTGTAAATGTCACTCCTGCTAGCTCTTTGTATAAAGAATTAATTCCAAGAGTCATATTTCCTTCTAATGGAAAGATTACTTTACTGATTGCTAGGAAAACAGGGTAATGGAAGGCACTCAATTAAAGCAAGCCATTTCCAAATGCAATGTATGTTTTATGATTGGCTTGTGATAGGCGATGCTTAATGTGTCTACTTGGTGTTTCCCTTTGAGCTTTGAACTTATGTCAAACTTTGTTTTCATTGTTCTGTTGGCCTAGTGTTTTCCATTGTCAGCCTGTAATTCCTGCTCAGTTGCAAAGGGAATCATTTGTTTCCTCCAATTTACCTTGGAGGATTTAAATTGGCTCAATTGATGAAGTGGCTGAGAATTTTTTCCTCCTTTGTCCCATGGGTGATGTAGGAAAAAGATTGTTCCCCACATTTGCCTGGGGAGGTACTGGTTTTGAATTTGTGTCGTTTCCACTAGTGCAAGCATTTCATTGGGACGACATAAACTTTTTGAAGCTTGGGGACAGGAAACAGAGCTGGCAACTGAACCAGAACAAAACAATGGAAACCAGTATAAACTCAGCCCACTTCAGCTGAGAGAAGAGATTGAGATTGAGAGATTTCTAGTTTGGGCCACAGTTGCCAAATCTCCTCTTAAAAGAGAATCAAGTCATGTTTGCAATGGTAGCAAAGCCTTAAGAGGCTGCCCTTTAAACATGTCCTAATGCTATTATACCTGTCAAGGTATTTAGAAATTTTGGTGAAAACAACTTTCTTTACATGCAATCCCTAGCACTTTGTCCCTTCCCCATGAGGACTAAAAAATGTTCACAACACACTCATGATAAAATGTGCACTGGAAGAAAAAAATTCATGATCTGTACTTTTCACTTCATGCTTTGTAATGACAATCACTGCTTGATGCAGATGTTGCACTGTATCCACTCAGGGATGTTTTCATTTGAGAAAAAAAAAAAGGTACATCAAGAAGTAGGAAAAAACTAAAAAAAAAAAAAAAAAAAAAAGAAAAAAAAAAAAAAAAAAAAAAAAAAAAAACAGGAAAATGACAACAAAATATAAATAGGATAAATTAAGTATGCCAATGAGAGAACCTCTCTGACAAGGCTTTCAGACCAACAAGCGGTAACTTCATGTTGTAAACTGAATTTCCTTTTATTATTTGGACTTGCTGAAAAGTTGCACATGAGTGAAGACAACTTAGCCTCATTTTCTAAAATCTGCTAAGAGCCAAATAATCCAGCTGCCCCATTCATAGGAATACTTATCCCTCAGCAAATCCAAGCTTCCTATACAAATCCTGAGCAAGGAAGAGACAGAAATCTCACTGTCGTTAGATGGAATTGACAAGGGAATGAAGCTGTGTGAACGCAAACTCCAATGTACCTGTGATCTGTAAAAGAAAGGGAAATTTGGGAGGGCAAATAGGAGAATAAGGGACTCCAAATCTGGTCTGACATCCCCCATATACCCCTACTGCCCAGGACTCAGTGCATCTTTGTGTTCTTTTTTCTGTGGCCCTTTTATCTCCAAAGACTGAAAGCTGAGGGTGGAGATGTATTCTACAAACAATACCCTTTCTAAATTTCCCTTGTTTGAACAACGCCTTCAGGGCTGTGAGCTAAAGGACCTACGAGTAGGTAAAAACAGAGAATAAAATGGTCTGTTGAGTGATTATATTTCTGTGGCAGAATCTAAGAGACCCCTAAATCATAATGAACTCTGCACACTAACAAGAGTTGCCAGGGAGGCCTCAGTGCATTTCCTGTCATAGCTGCCTTGTGCAACTTGCAACTCTATAGCAGTCATGCTAACTGTAGGAAACCATACAGATCAACTCACCCTCACTCTATCTACAATGCTGTGGGTACCAGACTTGAATGCAAAAAAAAAAAAACAAAAACAGTACTTAGGTCCCAAAGACAACCCAAAATTCAACAGCTTATTTTTCCTAAAAATTTCAATGAGATGCAAATAATGTCAGTGCTGTTCTATGTTCTTTCTTTCTGATTGTTACAGAAGCAAGGAAAATTTCTATTAGATATTAGAAGAAATAATTTCTTCCTGGCTCTTTTTTCTTTGTAAACATTTGTTTCCAATGAGGTTACTACAATTGGCACTAAATTCAGGCCATGGACATCTGTGCCCTGATAGAACCACCGTGCAATAGAACAACAATAACTTTAAAGTGTGTATCCGTAGTGAAACTTCGCTCAAAATCCCCTGTTAGAAAGAGGGGGGAAATGCCCCTCATTTGCGTTAAACAAAGCACTGTTTGATATTCTAACTGCTGGTATAAGTAGCAATTAGAATAAAGGCCTGATGTGGGAAACCATGGGAATCTTTCAAAAAAGAGCTGACACTCTATTTTGGGGGGGTCTCAGGACCAGAGTTAGATGTCCATTTAAAGCAGGGGTTGAAAATTCCAAAGCCTAAAAGGGCCAGGGAGTCAATGCAAATGAGTTGAACAGCCCAGTGGCAAGTTAGCTAGGAAATGTCCCATCTAAAAGGGGACATTCCCTATTCAGCTGAAGTTGAGTGTTGCTAGAGCTTCTAAATTTTATAAAATCTCTCAAGTTGTAAATGATGGCAGTTGATTCAGACCTTAGGAAAGACCAAAGTCCCTGGGCAGAAGAGGGCTCACAGGCCACTAGCTTGCAACTTCTGGTTTAAAGTAAAATCACTACTAAGGCCCTGTTCAGCTGGAGCAGGTCTGGTCAGATTCAACCCTGGATGATATTAGAACAATATTAGTGTTTTGGCCGGAGGGGGTAGAGATCTTGCCCTTCTGATATTCAATTTGGTTTCCATATTTGGACTATCACTACTAGAGGACATAGTTAGAGGTCAGTTTTAAAAAAAATCGCAGTCTAAAAATGGTAACAATTCAATTTAATGATGGTTTATAAAAGACACTTCAATTTGTCTTGCACAAACTCCCACCTTCACAGCGTTCGGGGGGCTAGATTTCTTGCCACTTTTTTCTGAAAGTCAAATGCACGGTTTTTTTTATGCTTTGGGGTCGTAACGTGTTTCTTTAACTGTGTGACTTGGGTACCTGCAACAAGTTTTCGTTTTCGCTTAGTCATATGTGAAGAATTGACTCTATAGTCGTGCTAATGCAGTCCTCCGCTGTGCCCAAGTGCAGACCACGGATTCCTATGCAGCAGACGGGGTTGTCTGTTTGTGCACTTTTTTTCCTAAGCTGCTGAAATTCCTCTGAAGCGAATTGGCCATAGTAATCTTTGCCTCCTGCGCGACTGCCTCCAGGGGATCAGAGAAGGCAGCTCAGTGATTGTTCTCACAGCCAAAAATAAAGCACAAGGGTTACTGGAATTGCATGAGCCCGGTTCAGGGAAGCGCAGGGTGTCTGCACCCCAGCTGGGCGGCACTATCCTTGTTTTCAACTCTACCGTTCTGGCCTTGGCTGGTGGCAAGCATTTGTCAGCCTCTGTCACAGCCATATGTAGACACACATTAGGTATGTCTGAAAAGCTACAAATCCCACATCCAAGCACAGTACCGTCTGCTTCATCTGATTAACACACACACACAAGAAAGAAAAACTACACCCGCAGAAAAACTGAGTATGTATTGTAGAAATGTAGAGGAAAAATAAAAATATTTTTTCAAATGTAATTACTTTTAATATATGCTTGTGGAAGGTCTAATACAATGTATGCTGTCTCTGTAATTTTTGCTGTAAATAACTGGGGACAGTGAATACACTGATTTTTCTATGTCTCTGTTTAAGCATAAGACTTTGTAACAATTTTTTTAGAGGGGGAAAAAAACCAACAAAGAGCAAATATGTACTTGCTTCCTTTCTGCGTGTTATATACTTCTCAGTTTTTAAATGGAAACTGATTGTAACAGTTTAAGCATCCTGACGGGTCATTGGTGTTAAGTGTATGCTTCTTTTTGTAATACAACTGAGAAAGGGACAGGGCTGTCAATTAAATCTGCTCCAAAGAATTTGGATTGAAGATTGGCCTAAGACCTGCAAACGCTATCTGAGCTAAACAATATGAAAAAAAGGAAGTGAAAAAAAAAAATAGTCAAAATGTTGCCTGAGTTAAGTCATCTTTCCTTGTAACAAATGGCTTTGTCCAAATCCTTTCTGCATGGACTAGCTTAAGGCAAACAAACTCCGCTTTCCGATGAACAAAATATTTTTATACACGTTTATTTCTTATGAATAACCTGAGGTCAGACCACTCATTCGCTGAAGCCATAACTGACCTGCACCAAATAAAATGTTGCAAAGACCTGGGGGAGGGCTGGGGAGAGACTGAGAGGGAAGAAAATCTAAGGCGTCATGAGCTGTAGCAACACAGGCAGGAGCAAGTCCATGAAACTGATGCTTTTCCTGCATCCCAAATATGACTTTAAAAGGCTAGTATTTTATGATGATTCATTTATAATAATAATAAAAAAGATATTTAGATTTAAATGAGACTTTCCAATATTTTTGAAATCCCCGATAATGCTTCCTTGCTTTTAGGATTGAGAGAAATGATTTTCGTATACTTCCAACATTCAGAGATTTAATGTTATTACCTTAGCTCCAGCCTACACTTGCAAAGTGCAGAGCGACTCTAAGTCCTCCAGGTTGAAACCTTGGGCTGTCTGGGGCTTGGCTGTATCCACTAACCACTACTGCACCTGGGGCAGCAGCATGGGAGGGGTGCAGTTTGCATTTCCTGAGCATGTACACCACTGCTGGCAATGCACAAAAGTGGCATTGCCACAAGTATGTAAAATAAAAGTATTCACTCTAAAAAGCATAGTAATTCTACTTTTTTAAAAGAATAACGCCTCTTATAGTCACCATTGATTTTTCTGGACTTTAATTACATTGTTACCATGTATTCTTATCGTCCTATAGAGGCAAAAGGCAAACTACGAATAAACCCAGTGACATATATAGTTTTAAAATCTACAATTTTCTGATCTCTCTCTCCTTGTTTAATATGTAAGACCTAATTTCTGTGTATGTGAGTAAAACTGCAGCCTGAGTCATTTAGGAAGTAAGCATTGAGTTTTTTTAAATTATAAATATACTAGAATAAAACAGCACTCCCTAACAATTAAAAAAGAGTTTTCTATTACTTTAGAATGTAATAGGTTTTTGTCCTTATTTTATGTCCTGTAAATTATTAGTTGAATACTGTTAGCATTCCCAGATAATGCACACATGATTTCTGAATGTTTTCTGTAAATGACAATCAATGTTTATGAAGTTCCCTCCTTTAATGCTGAACAAAATTAAAAGAAGAAAAAGAAAAAAAAAGTCTTGCCTAATGATGGTTTTCTTTCCTCGAACAAGGGTGGAAAAGTTAGATAGCTTTAGCTTTGGGTTCTTACCTTCAGAATTGTTCTTTTTCCAGTAAATAATGGGTAATTTTTTTTCTGGGAATTCTTGTGTGGACCTGGCCTGAGTTAGAAATGTTCATTGAGAAAAGACCCAGGCTTCATTCTAGCCAAATAGCTTACCAAGTTGCAATTAAAATGAGAGCAGCATCTCTCAAAGATAACAGCTCTCCTTTTCTGAGCACTTTCAGAAGAGGAAGCCCCAGCTAGCAGAGCTATAAGCAATTCCCCCACAAACACTTTGTTGAAATAAGTTGAAGCAGATTTGAAATGGATGTAACAATCCCTACATCTGATGAAAGCTTTCAGATAATAATTAATGATTAAGTCTCTGAGTCTGATATTTTTTTTTTTTTAACAAAGCATCACCAAGCTGTTCTGCTACCAAAATCAATACCCACCAACATATGAATGCTCTGAATCTTATTTGGAGCTGAAGTAGGAAGCAATTGAGGATAATCACAGACTCACAGTGATGTTGAAAAAGACAGCTCTAAGAGAGGCCAACGATTTTTCAGGTGCTTGGAAGTTGCTGCAGATTGGGGTTCTGAAATGCTCCAAAAGCAGTATTTTGAAGCAAGATTTAACAGCTTTTAAAAGTGAAGGCATTGACACAAACGACAGAATGAGCCTCAGACATCTTTCAGTAAAATTTCTCCCAACTTTTCCTGCTCTTCGGTACCAATAAAAACACTTGCAGTAGGTTTCACACCACATCTCTATTCAGGACATCTATATCCCATGTGGCCCCGATCAGAGGAAACGGAAATAGAGAACTGCACTGAGATTTTTGTGAAAGTACCATTTATGTCCTAGGTTGTTAATGAGGTCTTTGAGTGCCTAATCGGAGATGACAAACATACTATCTCAGTCTCTCCCAGGCTCATGTCAATTGTCACTAATGATTGGTCACAAAACTCTTTACAGTGATCTGAAGTTTTTTTCAGAAACTTAGATCTAGGCAACATCAAAATACAAAAGAAAACTTACCATTTTTTAAATTCAGCTTGAACCATATAGCATGACAATTCTTAACTTTTAATAGCATTATCAAAATTACGAATTAAGCCCTTTTTGTACACAGAGTTTTGTTCTGTTCACAGCTCCTCTTCTTTATTTGAGGACAAGAACTGGCAACAAATTTCCATCATCACACCAGGCTAGTGTGCATGAGGCATGTCAGGTATCAGAGGGGCAGCAGCTCCTTGACCAAATTAGAGAAGAGACAGAAGTGAAGCAAACCCTCTAATATCATCTTGACAGTGTGGTGTCTCAGATTACAAAGCCACCATGCTCTAAAATTTTGCTCTCATTGTTTTCTGAATTTGAATTTGTTAAGCTTCACTGGTTGAATATATGTTATGCCAAGAGACTGTAAAACTCATGATGGCTATGTCTCACAGACCTTTAAACCACCCAAGTTCCTGGGACAAGGCATGGCATTCCATAAATGTGTCAACCACATGTATTGGGATCCATTCTCCTTTTGTAATTTTAGCTACCCAACTATCCATGTGTTTCATTTCACTGGTTTTGCCCTTGAACAAATCAAGGGCACCAGACAGGGACATGCTTTTCACTGTAAACAATGAGAAGGAAAATGGCAGCCCATTGGCAATGGACACTAAAAGAATATTTTTTCCCTTCCTTTCTCCAAAGATTTAACCAAAAGCAATAACAGAGGAGGCTCAGTGGCTATTAGAAGGTATTATTTATTAGATGTATCTTCTCAAATTTTCATAGACAAGCTAGCTGGGCAGGAGCTCTGGGACCCTAATTTGTATAATAAATTTAGCATAAAAGCCTGGCTTTGGTATGCCATTCTCAAATCTTCCGGTCTGGTTTGATCATATCAAAAAATCTCAGTCCAAAAGGAGATATTCTGGAGAACTGGTTATTTCTTGAACTATATTACTGCACAGGTAAGAAATTTTAGAGAAGTCCTACTTCTTAAGAGATGGAAACCATGATAGCTGTGACTATATATTCCTGTTGCAGCAAACAGTGGGTCAAATGTTATCCTGGATGTCTACTTAGTCACTAAATGCTTTGCATGTGGACAGAAAATGAAGGAAGCAAGAAAGAGCAGACAAGATTACCCAGTACTCTGGTTTGCACATACTAGGCCTACCTAGAGTTCAATTCATTCAGAATTGATCCACATAGAGGTAGAAGTGGTTGAGAAATGCCATCTAGTTGTGTGCCCACAGGGAAAAGGAAACAGGTTTTAAAGAACACATAACAGCCCTGACACAAATATGAAAGAAATTCAGGAAAGTCTCTCATTTCTTTTCCCACCAGAGACTTCAACAAACAATTATTCAACTTATTTATTCAACAAATATTTATTTATTTATTCAACAAATTATTATTTATTTATTTATTTATTCAACAAATATTCAACAAATATTGCTCCACTACTGCACGCCAGGCACTGTCCACCAAAATCACAATGGTGAAATACGACAGGTACAGATTCTGCCCTTATGGAATCTATGGTCCATGTCCAAGAAAGGTGAGTATACAAGAGGACAAAGATGTAATATAAATAATTATGAAGGATAAACTTTATTACAACTACTATGGTAGCTACAAACAAAATTATAAGATGTCCTTACAGATTATCACCTATTCTGTATTTAGCTCTACTTTTGAACTCATAATCACCCATCATAGCCCATTCAGGGTTTGTTTGTGTTTAACACTGTAATTGTGTAATTAATTTCATAATAGTAAAATAAAACCTTTCTTCTCATGTTATATACTTCCAGTTAAACCTAGCTCTGCTCATTGAGACTAAGCATAGCAAATGCACGTCCAAACCTATCTTTGTCATATTAAGGCCTTCAATAAAATCAACACATCTTTCAGGTTTTACACCTCATCTTACTTTTTGCACAATAAAAATTCTCACTTATCCAAAATATTTCTCACAATTAAACCTGCTCAGAAAAAAAAAAAACCTGCTCATAAAAATTTTGTTCATTTGAAGAATGTCATCAGAACAGCCAGGAACACAAATCAGTGGCACAGGGACCAATCAGTGATCCCAATGATGTCAATGATGTCAGTCATACGTGCATTTAGAACACGGTTTTTTGAGGGCACTTGTGTTTTAAAATTTAGATTTTATTATTATTCAGGTATAGTGAGGTCAAGAGATCAGGAGACAGTTGCCATTGGAAAGATAGTTTGTTACTCACAGTTCCCTAGAGGAGGTGGCATGCACACACCACCACCCAGGGCCACACGGGGAAGCACAAGTGTCCAATAAGAGGCAGAGGGATCGAGCAGAAATGTGGGTAAGAACTTTTGTTGTGGTTCCTTTTGCTGTTGTTGTTGAAATTTCTTTAGCTGCCTCGCTTTTATTGTGGTTTCTATGGAAAGGAACAGGTGAGGCAGGGTAAGCAGATGTAGAATTGGTTGGTTTAAATAATTTCAGGTGACACTGAAGTGTAGGGACTTTCTCCAGTTGTCTAGTACCTGACCCTTAGGTGATGAGGCCAGGGAGACAGTGGCACCCTGTGTGACAGCTCCCAAAGGAGGTGGTTGGGCATGGGCTCTGGACTGGTTGATTTGTATTTGAAAGGGGGGCTCACCTGCAAGTCATTTACTAGCTCTAGGAATTGGCCAGGCCTGGGAAGGGCAGTCTTTC